TATATATATATATATGGAGAAAAAACAGCCTGATTAATACATCTTGAAAAACGTACTAAGAGCTAAAAAGTTTTTAGGTATTCCAACATACTAGTACTTGGTTTGACAACACACACAGAAGAAAGATTTGTCCTCAAGTGAACTTTGCTTCATCTGCCAAACAAGCTTGATCTATCACACTGTTTATTTGAACAGAAGGGCTTTTCAGTGGCCTCATCAATGCTTAGTCACATCACTGGCTTGTCTGTCCGCCACAGGAGCCAAGTCTCTCATTTTTCCAGAGAGGGAACGGCACTAAACCTCTTTTTTTTCTAGTTACATAATCGTCACATTAAAATCCCCCCTAAGGAGACAAAACTAAAATGAAATCACTGTGTTCCAAAATCCTGTTATATATTTTATGGACAGTAAAACTTATTTGGGTTAAGCTTACTCCCATTTTAGTAAAAAATGTTCCTCTAAAATCTGGTTTTCTTTCTCTTTTATTGATAGTTGTTCCTCCAGAAAACAGTTCACAGGCCCCCCTGGAGAACCTACAGCATCAAAACACACTGGCTTTACAGCACACAGGTGTGCACACTCAACATTTTACTCCTGAAATACACTTGAAATACTCCTGTTTTAATGTGATGTAACTAATTCACTGTCCTGCTCACTCTTTTTACTTCATCAATGGGTCATTTATTACCACACATATTAACATCCTCTGCACAGACTTCTGCCATCCATTTACATGTATGTTCACCAGTGTCGGCTTGCCTGTGTTTCCCTTGTGCACACGTGCATTTATTCATCTGTAGAGGAAACGTGCATTGAGTTAACCCGGGCCATAGAGGCTGGTGACACACGGTCTGCTTCTGCCATTGCTGCCACACTTGCACGACAACAGACTGCGCTCAAGATTCAACCCTTTGCCAGAGACTATGATGACACTGAGATCAAGTAGGAATAAGCTGTAATGTGTTATATCTATATTTACAATTCAGGTCCAAGATGCAGTAAGACGTTAGGTTTGACTGATACATTCTTTTCAGCTTGACTGTTGTGGTGGAGGATTTCTTCTCATCCTGTTGTGTCTCTGTAAGAGTTTCTCCTCATATAACGACTGCAGCACTGAAACAGCAGGTTGGTGTCACAGATGTTTCTTACAACTTAGGTTTGCGGCAAACTAGAAAATGTTCTTATGTTTTCATATTCAGAATGGGGATTTTTTTTTTTCCACACCTCAGATGTTTCTTGAGTACGGCTTTCATCCACGAGTGCAGCGCTGGATAATTGGTCAGTGCTTGTGCAGCGATCAGCGATCGCTGACCTCGTATGGCGTCCGCCAAAATGGTGACACGGCCTTCCTGTACCTCCTGTCTGCCCGTCATGCTCGCTTGACGCCCCAAGTCCTGCAACAGGACCAGGAGAGCGCTCTTCTTCTCAGTTCTCCATCACCTCTGCTGTCCAGCATGTCGCTTTCTTCTACCTCTGCCCAGGCCATGTTATCAAAGGACAGGAAGCCGTACACCACACTGACACCCAGGCTGCAGACAAGCATCAACACTGGTGAGTGAGAGCATGACTAATGAATGTGCTGTCAAAGAAATTTTAATGGTAATTTGTTCCTGTCTGTCATCTTTGGTGCTCATTAGAACACTGGAATAACTAGTTGATTTGTTTTACTCTTGTCTCGTATAACACCTCAGACAAGCTGTGATTTTTATTTGATTGAATTGATTTTTTTCAAAGACTGAGTCAACGACCTGCTTTAATAAGACAAAAATTAAACCAGAACTAAACAGAAAGTTATATGACGCTAAATGTTGATAGAACACATAATCCATAAGGAGTTCCCTTCGGTCAGGGTCCAATCAGTGCTGATTTTGTTTTTTGTTTTTTTTTTTTTCAGAAAGAAAAAAAGTTGGTGAGGTCAGAGATCTCATCAACCTAGACATGCCTCAACTCACTCAAGCACTGAAACCCATCTCATCCCCCCACCAGGTAAAACAAACCAGGAGCCGTTCAAGAGCTTGATCAAAAGATTGATTTTTCATCTTTCAATAAGATGTCATTTGATGTAACACTGACACATCTAACACTGTTCCTGCTCCAGGGTTGGTCATGTCCGTCTTGCACATACATTAACAAACCAACTCGGCCAGGCTGTGAGATCTGCAGCACCAACCGTCCAGAAAACTACGTCATCCCTGGAGGATATCGTCCGGATGCACTGGAACTGAGACGTATCCAGCAGGAGAAGGAGGCGGTCAGACAGTACCAGCAGGTAGGACCTAGACATGTAAGCGCACACACATAGTAGCACCGACAGACACTTTACTTTGTTCCTGGGGTTCTAAATTGGAAATAATACTTTAGACAAAGAGGGAAGTTTGCCAGTTATTAAGATTTGACTTTTTAAATTAAAAACACACAGGCTCTCTCAGGATGACTCTCTTCTCTTTTGTCTCTGTTTTTTAAAGGAGAAAGGGAGAAGAGAGATGCTGAGGAGTGCTGAGGCTCAAAACTCCCTCCTGTTTAACCTGGACCAGGACTACTGAACACACAGAGACACTCAGGCCAACATTCACTCTGTTTATTCATATTCTCTTCACTGACAGACACAAGAAATGTAAAGCACTGACCTGCGTTTGTGTGCACATTTTACATGTTTGAATCAAAAGGATACGGTACTGTTTTTTGTGTTCTGTTCTTAAATGTAGGTTATGAGAAATGCACTTGCTGTACACCACCACTAGAGTGGTTCTTAAATAACTTATGCATGTGATGGTAAAGTAGGTGCTGTCCATTCTCAGCATGTTCATCAATTTTACAGTAGCTCTACTGTAACACTACGGGTGATTTTATTTTTTTATGGTTTTTATTGAGAAGTTGTTGTCGTTATTTTTAAGGGCGAATTTTATATAAAAGCCTTAGGGTCAATCCTGACTGATTTACTGACTTCAGAGATTAAAGTCCGAACGTTAAGTGTTCTTTTCATTACTATTTTCAACAAATAAACCCAGATTGTTAATCTTAGTATCTCTACATTTATACTTTACCTAGGTTTTTTAAACGTGATTCGTTGTTATCATAGAATTCCAAGGGGGAGGGTGGCACAAAGGTCTGTCTCTAAACCTGGTTTGCATCTGACTCTAGTCCACTTTTCCAGAAAAGTGTGAATCGATCACATAAACATTTTTTGTCTCTGTTTAATGAGCTGGATAATCATCACCACTGTTAACTTACTTGTTTACCTTATCACTGAGCTGGTTGAAGAAGACATCGTTTTAAATTTTACACTGTCAATTTGTAAATGTTCTGTGAAATATAGAATAAAATGTTTATACACATTCTGTCTATACCATATTTCTTTACTACTTCTTTTGGTGTATTTATTTGAGCAGGAGATATTTTTATTTATAATTTTTCTGCTGACATCACCACTACCTGTCTCAGGCAAAGGAAGAGGAACGCAAGAAGAACTTTGCTCAGCTGCTGATGACAGATGACCAAGATCTGGTGCCTAACCCAGATCCTGTGGACTGTCGGATCTGCTACGTGGACCTGAAGCCTGGAGAAGGAGTCCTGCTGAGGGAGTGTCTTCACTGCTTCTGCAGGTATGAATTAAGAGGAGGAGCCAGATCGTAAGAGTTACATTATGGAGGACCCTCTAATCTGTGTCAGTTGAATTGGGGCTTTCATCTCCCCTTGTTCTAGTGCACTTGGTGCTGTTAATGCATGTTTAGATCCAGGGATTAAAAAAAATATATTTGTATTCTCTGCATGAAAACATTTGTGGAATCTTTGCATTGTAATGTGTAATTGCATGCACTCTGATGACTCAAAAGTATTTTTATAATCCTTATTTAATCCCTGTGTCTGTGTCTCAGGGAGTGCTTACGCTCACTGATCATGTTGAGTGAGGATCCTGTAGTGTCCTGCCCATTCAGAGATGACACATATTCCTGTGATTGCACTCTGCAGGAGAGAGAGATCAGAGCTGTGAGTTCCACCAACAGTTCACATATTTTAAATGTACTTTCAGGATTTCTGCTTCTTTGTTAACAGGCGATCTTTTTCTTAATGCTTTTGTAGTTGGTTCCAGCAGAGGAGTATGAGCGATGGCTGCAGAGAGGCTTGTCGGTGGCAGAGTCCCGGTGTGAGGGCAGCTATCACTGTGCTACACCAGACTGTCGTGGCTGGTGTGTGTACGAGGACACGGTCAATGTCTTCCACTGTCCTGTCTGTGGGAAAAACAACTGCCTGATTTGCAAGGTTTGAAAATAAATTTTAATAAATGTATCATTTCTTCCTGTAAATCTAATTAAAGTATCTAGGCACACAATGCTGTTAATTAAGTCAAAAGCTAACCAAGCTGACTTTTAATGCTGTTTGTAATTATCCATGTGTGAGACAAGTTTTGCATGTATATGTATTAATTTGGTCAGTAATCTAACTAGGTTCAGTTTGATGCTGCTCCAGTTTTCATGAATTTCTTCTCTTTTCCTTTCCTGTTTCGTCAGTCTATTCATGAAGGAATGAACTGTAAGCAATACCAGGATGATCTTGCAGCTCGGGCTATTAATGACTCTGCTGCAAGGAGAACTACTCACTTACTCAAGGTGACCCTGACGAGCCTTTTTGAAAGCATGTTTTTCCACAACTGAGCTAAATGAAAAACCAGTGAGAGAGAAAACGTCTTTCATGAAACTCTCTGCTCATTAGCACTTCCTCTCACCTCAGACTCTTTGTCTTCCTCTTCTATGTTTATTTTTTTCTGAACTATCTTTATATTTTGTGTTGCTGTCAGTCTTTAGTGCAGTCAGGGGAGGCTATGCACTGTCCCCAGTGTGGCATCATTGTACAGAAAAGAGATGGGTGTGATTGGCTCCGCTGCACTGTCTGTCACACAGAGATCTGCTGGGTGACCAGAGGGCCCCGTTGGGGACCAAAAGTAGGTGTTGTTTTTATTTATTTACCACAAGTATGGTTTGATTTTGAAGGGTTAGCATTGAATAAAATAGCATCGGTTTAGGTTATAACTGACACAGTTTATCAGTGGTCTAAGACCTTAATTGTATTATGTATAAACAAGGCGTGTTTAATTTCCACACAGAGACATTCCAAATCTCATTCTTCTTATCTCACTAACCTGTGTTCTGCTCCCCAGGGACCTGGAGACACCAGCGGAGGATGTCGATGCAACGTCAACAATCAGAAATGCCATCCTAAATGTCAAAACTGCCACTGACAACCTACAGGCCGTTCTGACTGAAAAAGGGAAGTAAGACTGAAACTGAGGTAAAGTGCTATCTGAATAAAGACTAAAGCACAAAACTAGCTATTTCACATTAAGCCCCTGTTGAAGGACTGAAATAGAACACGTACACGGTGCTTGTCATGACTGGAGTCTTTCTACATTTCTCACCATCACTTACTGCTGCAGAAATAATCTGTGTCCTCGTTTTTAGATGTGAACAGCCTGGCGGGAATAATATGTTGACATTTAGTGCTGCTTTCCTTAAGCAAACAAAAGCAGGCTCAATATCTATCACATTTCAGTACTGAGAGCAAAGTAATTGGTCTGAAATTTGAGAGTATCAGTCAATTTTATTTGCTTTTGGTGCCTTCTTACAATGATTGCACTGAAACAGGTACAGGTAGAGGTACAGGTGTGTTGTTCCATACTTTACTAGAATGCATTAAACTCAAGTGTCCTTATTCTTGTACACAAAATATAGCAGTATATTTATTGTTACATTTTATAGGAATTTGTTTTTTTCTTAACAGTATTGGGCAAACAAATTTGATTAAAAAGGTTTAACATATATGATACAACACAAGTCAATGCTTCCCAGTTAGGGCTAAATGGAACTTGTAAGATATTGGAGTCTCAAAGTTATTCCTTTTAGTAGAGGGAGCAAAGCAGCCCTGGTGAATCACAGGGCAGCTGTCATTATTTGTTTCTGAGAAATTGTCATCTCTACCTCCTCCTTTCTTTTGGCTGTTGCACTTGGTCATATTTAGGAGATAAAAAAAAAGGTCAAATTGTAATTGTAGTCTAATTGTATAAGATTGTTTAAATCACTTATGTTACAGTATATTATAACTTCCCCAAACCTGGGAGGCAATTGAGTTTGTTGTCCTGTCTGTGTATGTTCTCATCCAGGTCAACTTATCCAAACATAGTTACATCGAGGGCCACTGAACAGAGTAGGTTTCTTGAAGATGTTTCACTTCTCATCTAAGGGGCTTCTTTAGTTCTGACTTACTACCGGGAAATTCTGGTATTTAGCCTCAGAGAGGCTGTATACACGTAACAAAGGTTGTTTCAAAAAACTAGTCACATGTATAGTTACATGTGACTACGTATACATTCCGCCCTCCTCAGAATATGGTGTGGTTCGCCACACCTCCACACCCCATTCTAAGAAGGGTGGGGCTAAATCCCAGAACTTCCCAGTAGTCACTTAGAACTGAAGAAGCCTCTTGGATGAGAGGTGAAACATCTTCAAGAAACCTACTTCGTCCAGTTGCCCTTGATGTAACTATTTTTGGAGTTTGTTGTATTGAAGAAAAAAAGTATTCATGTCTATCTTTTTCTCACACAAAAAGTGCAGTGAGTACATTATATAAGGTCACAGAATCAGAATCTACATTGTTCCTTTGTTGGGGAAAAAATGCATTTCCACAACATTGTGGCCCTCTGTACCCAACAGTATGCTCACAACCACACTACCACACTCCACTGATATTAGTCACAAGAAACCGTCACTGCTACTTACTCGGATCACAGCACCATGTCCTACTGTGCCTTATCCATCAATAAATGACCTTTTTAAATCTAATCTGTTGAGTATTTGGATGTCTTGTGGTGTTAATGTGAATAACCAAACTGGGGGCTTTAGATTTCAGTATGCTTTTACTGATATAGTATAAAAATATTATCACTTGTTATTAATGATACATGTATTTATTTTCTGCCGTGTCACACGCCTTCATTAAAGCTAAACAAAAAGCTGTCTAGTATTTTTCTATTACTGGCATTACTCTCTTCTTTTTACATCAGGCAATATTTTGTGCAAATTTCTAGTTATTCCTCTAAGGAAAGAAAAACAGACATTCAGACTTTCTAACTATTATTTATGCCATTTAAATATGTCTAACTTAAAATGTCTCTTGAAATGTGAACAGATATTGTCTTGTGCTGTATAGTGTTGTTTGATCTCCACTTGACCAGAGGGAGGCGCACTTGTAAAAACACGAAAACAAACACACGGAGGGGGAATGCTTAGCAAATACCAGCTCCTCTCCGGCGGGCGGAGCTAAGATTCAGCCCTGGTCTGATGCTGCTCTTTGTGTCAGTGAGGCGGGGTCGTCAACGTGGTGGTTAATTTTGTGACACACGAAGCAGACGGGTGAGTATTGTGGTGCTGACTGTAAACGGATTATCAAATATTATCAGACCGTCATTCAGAGGCGCAGCTGCATACAGGTGAGTTGGAAATGTCCACTTGCTTGTCTGCTGTATCTAGTTCTACTACTGCTGTTACTAACGGTGAATGCAGCCCCAAACAACCACATGCTACAGAAGCTGCAAATTAACCATACGAGTTCGGTTTACAACGCATAGTCAAAATTAGTCATATTTATATGAATGTTTTTGCATTGCATTAGTTTGAATAGCTATTATAAGTTTGAAATGAACTTTTCGAACGGAAACTCGACACCTTGCACTTGCCCGAGGAGTTGTTACGTATATTGTTACGTATAAATGCGTATATTGAAAAGTACGAGACCTTGTATGCGGTGAGAGACATCAGACATTTTATTTAATAATAATAAAATGTCAATAATAGAATGTCAAATTTCACATTTTATTTAATAAATATCCAAAAAACAGTTTAAAATTATAATTTCACAAATGTAATACGTTTAATACATTTTGCGTTATGGTATGTCAAATGGTTATACATATAGTAAACGATAAAACTTAAATATTTTAAAGTATTTTGTCTTTTTTAGTGACATCCTGAGGTGAAATTGCATATTTTGTTTGAAAATAGTTTTCTAATTCTTCACGAAATCAACTGTTACATTCAGTAATGATTTTGTCCTGTTTAAGGTCAGAGTTTGCCCCTTATTTGACTGTTAAACTGGTGGAAGTCAATACAGATTTGTAAAAAAATACACTGTCCCTTTATATACTGTATGTGAAGAAACCAGCTGTATTATGTAAGCTTGTTGTACGTTGATAAGAACCACAGACAAAGGGAGAGTTATCAGTTTTTGCTGCTTCATTGCAAAGTCTTCTGCTGAATGAAATGTCATTTCAAACATTACCTCACCTGTTTTCTTGTCAGAACCTTGTCAAAGATACAAGCTGTCATTGCATTTCTCACTATTCCACTATCTTTTTCTTTGTCTCCACTGTTCTACATCCAGGAATAGATTTTTTTTCTTCCCTTACCATGGCTGAGACCAAAGGCAAATTTGACTTTGCTATCGATCGTGGTGGCACTTTCACCGATGTTTTTGCCCGATTGCCTGATGGACATGAAAGAGTCCTGAAACTTCTGTCTCGAGACCCCCAGAACTACAAAGACGCTCCAACAGAGGGTATCCGCAGAGTCTTGGAAGAGGTAACATAAGATTCTGTGTTCACTCCACACATTGAGACGAATTTATATGAAAAGTACTGTGGGGTATAAGTTCAGATATACAGTAAGTTGATCCTGCTTTATGAAGCGATGGTTATGTAGGCAGTTGTTGCTGTAGTCTAGTGCTTCTCAATTATTTTCTGTCACACACCCCCCTCCGACCCACACCCCTGCGAATTGAAACACTATTGAGAACCTGATAACATGTATATTTCTATCTGTACAAACCACTGTATGAGTTGCTGCCACCTAGTGACTGGATGCTTGTTATCATTCAAGCATTACTGCAGTGGTACACTTATGTCCAGCATGCCATATTCCATCGGAAGTCCCTCATGCCCCCCCGGGCACCTCACCGTGCCCCCCCACGGGGCTCGCCCCACTATTTGAGTACTGCTGTAGTCAAACACAGATGGAGTACGATTACAAACAGAGAAAGACGATGAGTTGTCTTGTATTTAAATTCTTAATCACCTCAATCCAGAGCAACTGGTAGTTTCTGCCTCTGGCCGTTATTCCTCTTGTGTGTTTTTCATTTACAAGTTTCAAATTGTCGCAATGTTTCAAGGTAGAAAATGTGTTAGTGAAAAAAAACCCAGCAGTTTTAATAACTTTAAACCCCTAAATTAAAAAAATTCAGCACTTTAGTATCCAGTGCCGGACAGCTCCACCATGGCCTGGTATTACTTTTATCCAGAACATGTTCTCAAGAAATGTGTGTTTGCATCTATTGACAGGAAACGGGACGTGCGTTTCCTCGTGACCAGCCTGTGGATACTTCACTCATCGGCTGGATCAGAATGGGCACGACGGTGGCCACAAATGCTTTGCTGGAGAGGGAAGGCGAGAGAACGGCTCTCCTGGTCACCAAGGGCTTCAAAGACCTGCTGCACATCGGCACACAGGCCAGGCCAAAGCTGTTTGATCTGGTTCGTAGGTTTGGTTCTTTTGAGCCCCGGTTCATATTGCAGCAAACAGAGTGAGATATAAAAACTAATATGAAATGCCAGCATGAACAAAAGTTAACTTACTATTGACCACCACCTGACCACACATGCTCTCAGACCTCTTTGAACTGGTCATCAGTGTTAAATCCAGGTATTCATTTTTTTCTGAATATACAACATAATTCCTGCAACATAAGGTTTACTTATTACCCTATATAACACACACGCTGGGGGAAGATGTTGGAGTTTGCCCTTAACCAGTTATTGCGGTTGTTACTTATCTATGAAACTGATGCTCTGTTGTAGTACAAACGTGGGAAGAGAAGATTGCTTCATTCATGATGAGAAAAAAAGTGTGCTTGAACTGTCACTTAAAATCTGTTGAAAGTCCACTTTTTCTCTGGAGCTCAACTACTCTATGAACACATTTGCGTTTTTTACAGCCAAAATGACCTGCTGTGACCTTGTGTCTATGTCGCAATACATCATTTTCTTCTTATCGTGACCATTAGTCAGATGTATAACCAGGGTGTGTATATTAACAGGAGGTCGCTGTTCCTGAAGTCCTGTACGAGGAGGTGATAGAGGTGGATGAGAGGGTCGTCCTTCTGCAAGATGGCTGCCAGCTGCCCAGGAAGGAGACCAAACGTATTGTCACAGGTGAGAATCACCACTACTAATAAGTATACTTTTAAGGCCTTGGAGAAGACTCATCGCTAGAGGTTATGAATGTGTAGGTGGAAACTTGTTTATGCCAAGGAACCTAGTTCAACCATCTAACCACCGCACCACCTACTTTCTCAGGCAGCACTGGAGATTCTCTGGAGGTGTGGAAGGAGCTGGATCTGGATCATGTAGAAAATGAGCTGAGAGGAGTTCTGTCTCGCGGGATCACCAGTTTGGCTGTGCTCCTGCTGCACTCCTACACGTCAGTACGATGGTTTTTCATGTTCCTCAATCTCAGTGTCTACCTTTATTTCACCTTCAAGTTTTTTTTTTTTCACCGATTGCATACCTGTATGGGAATAACAGAATGATTTTTAAAACTGAAAGATGATAAACATCTGTATTTATCTGTTTGATACTTGTTGGTGTTGTCATCACTGTGTCTGCAGTCTTAACATTTACATGTTTAGACTGCAGCTGCAAAATGAGTGTTTCCCACAGCAGGGGGAATTTCCAGATTGACTAGGAAACAAGTAGGACTTTGGTTAATCACTTGCCTCCTTGCTCACTGTAAAGTTTCCTGCTGTGTTTAAATGTGTGCTTTTCAGATTTATCCCAGATTTGTTTGGGATTTTGTCAGGAGAAATCCTAAGCATGTTTGGATGGAATTTCGGGGACATTTACATATTAGGATAAGTCCCACTTAAAAAAAATCTATGAACTCTAGGTTGTGTCTAAAAGCAGTCCCTGTGTGTTTCTTCAGCTGGTCCGACCATGAGAAGGCAGTGGGCTCATTGGCTCGCTCCCTGGGCTTCACCCAGGTGTCTCTATCCAGTGAGGTCATGCCCATGGTGCGGGCGGTGCCTCGGGGTTACACTGTCTGTGCCGACGCCTACCTCACACCCAAAATTCGTCAGTATTTAAAAGGTTTCACCTCTGGATTCAAAGGTGGACTAAAAGTATGTTGAACTTAATGTTTTTTAGGTTATTCCCATTTACATCACTCAAATTAATATTTAACAGCATGATTTTCATTTGTCTCTGACCTCAGGACGTGGATGTGCTGTTCATGCAGTCAGATGGAGGTCTGACTCCCATGGATCAGTTCTGTGGTTCCCGTGCTGTTCTCTCAGGTCCGGCTGGAGGTGTGGTGGGATATGCCATTACCTCTTACAACCAGATGGAGAAAAAGCCTGTGATTGGCTTCGACATGGGAGGTGAAGTGGGAAGAAGGAGAAGAAGAAGAATCGATTTTATACCTTAATTTATATGATTTAGACCATGACCTGCTCTTTTTTTTGTTTTGTTTTTTGTCTTTCTAGGAACCTCCACAGATGTGAGTCGATACGCGGGCCAATATGAACATGTGTTTGAAGCTACCACAGCTGGAGTCACTCTTCAGGCACCACAGCTGGACATCAATACAGTGGCTGCAGGAGGAGGATCACGGCTCTTCTTTAGGTCACTCTATATTAGTGACATTTGGATGATTATACATTATATAAATGAACAATTTGATAAACTGATGTGGTTAAAACATCAGCGTAGCATCATTATGTCATGTTCTCTGATACTCGTAATAAAACTGGTATCCTATCTTTTTTTTTTCTTTTTTCTGACCTCTCAGATCTGGGATGTTTGTGGTTGGACCAGAGTCTGCAGGTGCACATCCAGGACCGGCCTGTTATAGAAAAGGTACATGAAAGCTTGAATAAGCTTATATGTATTTACCTTACGTCAATGCAACTTTGGTTTCATCTACTTGTTGATCATTTTCATGCACTGAATATGAGATGTTCACAGAAATTACATATTTGAGACCAATAGTTTTAGAGATGAAAGTCTAAAAATAAAAACCTGGCATAAAAATGTTTTTTCTAAATTCAGTTGGAGCAGTTGTGTGCTAACAAAGGATACTTGACTGTTACAAATGTACTACTACTATTAAACATAAGGCTCTCTCTCTGTGTGTAGGTGGCCCTCTAACTGTGACTGATGCTAATTTGGCTCTGGGGCGCCTCCTTCCTCCATTCTTCCCAAAGATCTTCGGGCCTGGAGAAAATGAACCACTGTCACTGGAGGAGACGATGAAACATTTCAAACTTCTCACGCAGGAGATAAATGTCTTCTTGTCCTCCAACCAGTCACAGGCACTAATACTTTTAAAGCATTTTACTTTTTTTTCCCCCAGGGTAGTATATATTGCTCAATTTCTTTATTTTAATTTAAAGGTTGCCACCAATGGAACCAACCAGTCAGACAACCACACAGTGCCAAACATCCCGTCAGGAATGAGCCTGGAGGAGGTTGCCATGGGATTTATTCGTGTGGCTAATGAGGCCATGTGTCGACCAATCAGAGCTCTGACACAGGTTATTCTTGATTCTCAAGCTTCAAGGAATATCATTTTATTCCTCATGTCATGGCATGTCTCTGTCTATATTGTCTCACTATCTTTGACCACTTCTGTCAACCCACAGGCGAAAGGCCACGACACATCACAGCATGTTCTAGCTTGTTTCGGGGGTGCAGGAGGACAACATGCCTGTGCTATTGCCAGAGCCCTGGGGATGAAGACTGTCTTCATACATAAGTAAGACAGACTGAAACTGAATCTGGAATGTCTTATTCTCATAGAGTATATTTGGACACTAATGTTCATATGTGTGTATTCCTCAGGTACAGTGGTGTTCTCTCAGCCTACGGTCTGGCTCTGGCGGACGTGGTGGAGGAGGTGCAGGAGCCGTGTTCACTGCAGTATGAACAGAACAGCTTCACGGAGCTGGACAGAAGAGTGGAGCAGCTGTCAAAGCGCTGTTGTGACACACTCCGCTCACGTGGCTTCAAAAGGTCAATTTCAAACTAAAATTCAACAATGACGGTCAATGTAACCACGCACCAGACTGAGCAGACTCGTGTTTCTTCCTCTTACAGCAGTCAGATAACCACTGAGGTGTTCCTCCACCTGCGTTATGAGGGAACCGACTGTGCACTAATGGTTTCGACTGCCGGTTTTCCAAGCCATGCAGAGTCCTGTAAAGCCGGAGACTTCCGTAGTTCATTTACCAAGAGGTTAGCTGTGTGCTTATAATGATTAAAATAATACATTTTTACTGGATCTTAAAAAAAGATAAATATTTGAATGGTCAGGAATTAATTAAATCTATGTTTATTACCACTGGTTTATTTTACTCATTTGTTAAATGTTGACAAATTTAAGTTTAATTTTTTTACTGTGTAAACTACATATCATTTTCCAACATAATTATCTTTACACAAGTGTAGTACAGTGTATTTTTCTGTGATTGCATTATGGTAATTTGTTCTTATTCTTTATGTAACTGTTAAAATATCAAATCTTAACTTGACTCAAATTAAGGAATTTTGTGCTCACATGTTATTATTCAAAAAATAATTATCCAATTAGACAATTATTAAAGGTGGTCCAAGAAAAAAGCCTTGAGGAATCTCACACCTGATTTTTACCAAGACACCACTTTTCACTAAGATTCATAACCACAACCTTATGGCGTGGATTGACATTACATTGTGTAAGGGTCAAAGTCATTTGGGTCGTCTGTGCAGAAAATGTCTAACTGGATATTTTTCAGACGGGACATTACACAACTTTATCACCTACTTTATAGGAGCACTTTAGCACCATATCATACATTTTTATCAGAGGCCAAACCTGTATATTTCATTTGTTTTTTTCCTAGAGTCTGCACTCATTTTGACCTTGTAATTTTCTGTTACATGTCTGATGGTTACAGCCTTATCTTTATTGGTGACAACTTTTTTATATTTGTTGATTCTCCGACAGAATGTCATATTATTTATATATAAAAAAAATGAACAACTTTTTTTCCCATGTTAGTTTCCATGTATTTTATTTAACACCATCCCCTTCATTGTAGATACTTGAAGGAATTTGGATTCACAATCCCAGACAGACCCATCGTGGTGGATGACATCAGAGTCAGAGGCTGTGGACGATCTGGCATCAAATCTGTGCATAAAGCAAAAGCAGGATCTGGTCACGTCAAGCCTGTCATGGTGTGTGAACAAAACACAGCCAACCTTAACCTTCTTCACCTCCTCTAGCTGTACATTTTATTGTATGACTTTATCTCCTCTAACTTTTTACTTTGGCAGGAGTGTTTCATTTCTTTAGCTTTGTTGTTCTCTGTAGGTGACCAAGTGTTATTTTGAGGAGGGCTACCTGGACACTAGTGTGTATTTGTGGGAGGAGCTGCCATGCAGTCATACCATACAAGGTCCAGCCATTATCATAGACAAGAACAGGCAAGAATTTATTTATTTTTTAAATAACCTTTTCAAATTAAACAGATGGATCAAAGTAATTTATTCTGTTTCCCCTACTTGACATCTATGCCTTCTTAAATAAACTTAGTGTTTGCTCCTCAGCACCATTCTGGTTGAGCCATGCTGTGAGGCCTGCCTGACAGAGGGGGGCGATGTTTGCATTACTGTTGGCTCTGACCCTCACTGCGCGCTGGGCACTGAGCTAAATACTGTGCAGCTTTCCATCTTCTCCCACCGCTTCATGAGCATAGCAGGTACAGTATATAAGCACGGACCACAGAATGATCTGATATTTTTTAAATTTTATAACAATAATGCTACAGATTCACATTTTACAAAAGAATAATTCATGCTTTGCCACT